AAATATTACATTCTGTGTATTGTTTTTCTGCAGTCATTACTTTTTTTGCATATCTGCACTTTTCTTATTGCTATATAAATTGTGATAGCTAGCACAATATCCTTGGTTGAAAATCGAACAATGTACCAATACTAGAACAACTTAAAGTAAATATCTTATAACACAGGCTTAAACAAATACAACAGAAATATTTGCAGTCTTTCGGACACATTACCAGAAGAACAAGTACCATAAAAAACTGATAATCGAGAGCGGAGTTGAACTAAAAAGACCTAGGATAACATATTCTAGCCGTTGGTTGGATCAAATTATAATACTGATTTATCGAGGGTTATACGAAGCCGAAACACAAGCCCAAAATAAAGAAGGGTTAAAGTGAATTGTAAAAAAAGTATAAAAACATTGATAGTGTCATTATATCCCTATAAGGAATTGGGACTGAGGATAGAAGGACCTATATAGTACTAACAGCACACTGAATTCACAGCACAGTATTCAACAGCACAGTAATTCTATCGATTTCTTTTTAAGACTCCTTTTTACTTTTATTGTTGTTAAGTGTACAACCTAAGAACGTCATTTTAATGCCATTTTGACATTATTAATAACAGTCCTTAATAAATTTAATGGTAATAAAATAACAGTTTATTTACTGAAGCATATGTTTTTAAATGTTTGCAAAATAATAACATATAACAAATTGATATCTGTATTTTATTATATCTATGCAATTATATTTAATTCTATATTGCGTTTAATTAGTCGGTCAAGGTCTGTATTTTTAAAAAGCGGATATGATTCCACTTTTCGATCATCCAATTGTGACTGATTTGCAATTTTAAGAGAGTAATTTCGAAAAATCTGGTGTATCATCAACGTGAATAATTTCATGCTACGCCAACGCCATTAGGCTAGAAATTATTATTGTTATTTTAATGTACCGGAAGATTCAGATCGAGTTATTTGACAGAAGCAGTGGTAATAATTATAGAATAGCAACAATGAAAAAACAAGTTTTTCCTACGATTATAGGTAAATTTTTCATTTATTATTTCTTAGCAGTATGTTTTATTCGTATAATATATAAATTTATCGAATCACGCACAAGTATAAATACTTCTTTGAATATCACACATTCTGGAGATACATCTTAGAATATACCTATTAGCCTTAATACATATAATGTTGGTCATGATTCTGAGCACCTCCTCCATTTTTGTCCATCTTGAGCTATGTGCAATAGCTACTAAAATGTATCTACTTATCTCATCTATTTTTAATTCTTATTTTGTGCTTATATAATTCTAGTTTCCAATATCTAATAATCTTATTTCATCATTAATCCATTTGTGTAATAGTGTGTCAGGGGAACTTTAGTTCAGTTATTTAACTGTATTAGAAAATACACGACGCTCGCGCTACTCCCAAAGAGCGAAGACAAGTATCGACCTGTTTGCCTTCTGTCGTGCATTGGTAAATTATACGAGAGGCTTTAAGAGTGCGAATTAACACAGTGATTGATGAGTCATCCAAGCAGTACGGGACTAAGCACAGGAGTTGGGGGGGGGGAAGGTGGGGGGGAGCACGTAAAGGCGGTGACTCAAAGAGCTATTGAAGGTGGCATGTGCGTACAGAACAGTCTCTGCCGAGGCGCCGGAGTTATCACCGGGTGTATTCTGATTCACGTGTTAGTACTAGTGCTAGTGCTAGTGAAGAAACGAGGAATAATACATAAGAGAAGAAATGAAGACATAGCAAAGGGAGGGATCCATAATGGTTTGGCAAGAGAAATGGGATGAGATGAGAAGGGTGGTGCGGTGGACAAAGTCGCTGATTCCTAATCTGAGATGAATGGACTGCAGGCATCAACGTTTGGATGATTTCCTAAAGCAGATGCTTAGAGATGATGATTGCTTCGGGGCATACCTTTACAGATTTAGAAATTCAGAAAATTACAAATGCCTGTACTGTGAAATATCGGACATTGTCTCACACACTCTATTGGTATACGATAAGTGGATATATCAGAGGTGCCTGCTTCAAAGAGAGGTAGCACGTAGGGTGCATTTAGTCACAAAACTGGTGAAGGAGATGCTTAGCTCATCAGATCGGTAAAGAGCAGTTCAGAGATATGTGAGGAGAACATTGGAGAGAAAGGAACAAGCAACCCGAAGGGGGACAGGTTTCCCAGGAGCAAGCAAGAAGTTAAGGCAGAATGAGAAGAAGCGATATTGAACATGGACAGGAAGGAATACAGGGAGAGAAGAATCCAGTCGTAGTAATATAAGCGTGAATGCGTGAGAATTGTGAGTGAATGAAAGATTGGGTAAATGCCGTCCGATGTTGCGTCCCAATTAGGGCGGTCCGGCTGGTAATTCACCGTTGAGGAGGGTGTTTTTTTAGCAGGTAGGTCTTTGGTATCGAGAAAAAAATTTAGTTATGGAAGATTTAACTTTTGTGATGTTTCTTATATAAATATTCCTCTTATCTGAAAATACGTTTGTATGTATGTGTAAAAATTTAGGAAATGACTCGTGAGGTTTATCGTACCGTACTCTTCGCATTTCTTGTCTCCTGTTTTTTTTTAGGAGTGCAATAAAGTCAGACATCAGCCACACTGTTACATTTCTCCAGAGTAGTATATGTTGTTAAGTATCTTTGTGGTTCTATTGATTCATTGTCCATTAGTTCTACTTGTATATTATCGGTACTTTCTCTTTTGCTATCTTCTAGCTATGATATTCCACTATATTATTGCAGTATTAACTTCTTGCTACAGTATTTTTATCCATCTTTTATAGCTAAGCTAAGCTAAGCTTTAAGCTAAATTTCTATTCTTAGCTATATAAATTACCTATTCTTTTAGAACAAAGGTGTGGTCTCTTTGGTCTTTAAAATAGTTCCTCTAGGTATTCTTTCCATGTTCTACATTTAACATCCGTTCAGATATAATTTTAAAACCACTGACAAACTTATTCACACTATTTGATATGCTAATGACCTCTTATCTTGTGCGGTGCACCTCTCTATGGTCATCTTGTGTGATAGTATTAGGTACTTTTAAGAGTTGGAATATCTAAACATATATTTATCTAAAGTTGGATGTCAAAATGAAAGTCACTAAAAAATAAAGTATATAAATTTCTAAATAATAAACTAAAAAAAACTAAATAAAAAAAAAATAAAAAAAAAAACAAAATAAAGATATTATCAAAGAACAAATTAAGAACTCAATGCTTGAAACTCTGAACTAAGGGAATCCGTGAAATCAATGATATAAAAAAGTATTACTAAAAGACGGGAAGAAGAGTTTCTTGTGAACGGATTTCGCAATAAACAAGAGCATTAATAAAAAAACGAAAAAAAGTTAGTCATCAAAATAGAAGATTAATAGCAGAAATGTGGAAATACACAGATAATAATAAAAATATTTATATTATGTCCAAGTAGGATCTGTCCAAACTAAAGACAGCTGTACCAAGAACTGCCCATATAACATGTAGTATATTTCATCATCCTTTAATGCACAAATGTGTATTATCGCCAAATCTTTTTAATTTATATTCAGAGGAACTATTCAAGACAGCCTTGGATGGCAGACCCAAGGGAATAAAAATTGGTGGAGATGGAATTAATAATATCAGATTTGCTGGAAATACAGCCTCTCTTACAGAAAGTGTAGAGCAGCTTCAAACACTGTTAAACCTAATAAATAAAGCAAGCTGTCAAAAAGGTCTTAAAATGAACACTAAGAAGAAAAGAAGTTGACAGTTGGCAAAATAAGTTTAGCTCAACAGCAATTTGTGTAGATGGGGAGAAAGTGGAACGTGTCAGTTATTTTAAATATCTATACGGCTTATTAAATACAAGTACAGACTATGATGAGAAGATAATAATACGGATTGAAATAGTATGGAAGATTTTTATGACATGGAAACCAGTTGTGTATAATAGAAATTTGTTATATCTGTGTTAAATAGTTTTAAGGTGTTGGTTATACAATATTAGACAATAATGCGATATGACAGATGAAGTATTTGACGCAACAGTCGATAAAGAAACATTCCAAGTATTTATAAACATGATGATAGCAAACGTTTGATCACAAACATGGCACTTACAGAGAAAAAGTAGATAAAAGAAAAGAAATGGCGAAAATAACTCAACAAAACAAAGTGTTTTGCTTACAACTTAAGCTAGGAAAACAGAAATAAATGTAATTTTTTTTCTGAAACCATCTATAATTATTGGTTCGTACTACAGCCAATTGGCTTATTATACATCTGCAGTTATGCAAGGTATAGTTGACTCTTTAAACTTTCAATTTTGTCATTCTACCTGTTACTAATTTTAAACATTCAAGAAAACAGCAATTTCTCTATTTAACACTACTTCATTGATCTGCATGTCTGTCCAGAATATTTGGAGCCTTCTTTGATGCAATCACAACCAACTTGAACGCTTCTAAGTGATTGATCTTATAAGCGTTCAGGTCTCAGATCGAGATATAATAACACGGACCAAATATAACATTTCATTATTTTTTGATTCAATTTTTGGTTTAAGTTGAAGTTACAGAATAATTATTTTATTTTCAGAAACTTTATGAGAGCTGCTTAAGATCTGTACCTAATCTATTTATTTGTATATAGTTTTTCTCTATCATATAGCATCTATTATTTCAATGTTTTTGTGGATATATTTGTAGGGAAGTATAAGATTGCGGTTGGTGGCTAAATATAATAAATTTTTGTCTTAGTTTTGCATATCTACGTTTTACATGTATTAGTTATTCTGAGGATTTAAATATAAACCAGTAAATTTTGACGATGTTTTTACCACAATTTTACAAATTTTTATAAACCTTTTTATGTTGCAGGTACAAAATCTCCTCAAGAAAAGTTCCTTTAACAAAGTGCTGTGATAGTCAACCAGAACGAATTTATCTGTGATCAAATAACTTATTATTAATTATCTACTAGCATTAAATTGATAAAAGAATGACAAACAATCACCAAGCAATTCTGGAAGATGTGTACGTAGATAACGGCAGAAACTCGGATCAATTCGAGAAACTTCTTGGAAACAGATGCCAAACAGCTCCGACGTTACCAGCCTTGTTACCAGCTGCGCAGATCGGTAAGAAGTTGGAGACGAGAAGAAAATCGGATAATAGCCTTTTGGGATCTTTGAACAGGTTGAGGTATTCGATTGGATCGAAAGATGGCCCAATTCAACTTAACAACAGGCTTAGTAGGTAAGTCATTTGAGCTATTTGATTTATTTTTTTCTCTTCGTAAAATACTACAATGTTATTGTTTTAGGAAGGTATTCTTTAAGTTGCGCATAAATCAAATAAAATACTTAAAATCATTTCTATTAATTTTAAAATTATACCTTATTAAACATCTCTGCAAGTTAGTTATACCAATTTTAATTCATAATATATCTTATATGCCGACACAATATCTCAGCAGGGTAGCAAGGATAACTTCATTGTGTGAGTGGTATATTAGAACATGATTCGAGGCACACTCTCACGAAAATTTTATTTAACTGCAACATCATCATCATAGTCAGTAACATTTTGGTAGATGTGTTGTGGTTCATCATTAAGCTTTAGCAGCTCGGATAGTCTGATCAATGATACCTCTCCATTGGTCGCTCTGTTCTCCACAGATCATCTGTTACATGTACTGCCTCAGGATACTACTTGTTGAGATGCTTTTTTTCGTGTTGTCTGCCTATTGCTGTTTAGAATCGACGTTGACTTTGAGGTCTTTCTAGGACCACCAACCGCTCCATTTTATCATCACTGCGAAATTATGATCTGCAACATTAAGTTGTAAATAAGGAATAAATTTAGCTCACCAATGGATGATTCGGACGTTTAGTACGTTTTTATTAAGAAGTCACAGGCGTATATAAACTATTCTTCTTCTTCAAGTAACGTCTCCATCAGTAGAGGTTGACAACAATGGCGGCAAAATGTATGCATTAAATCTTGTCCAAACACGGATGATCTTCAGTCAGGAATACTGCCTACGGCCAGGTCCTCTGCTCCATTTTTCTTACTATGCTTCATTATGTTCTGAATGTTAATAGTTTTGTTTCTTTTTTTGCTTTTTTCTCAAAATTTTGTAACTTCTAACCATACGTCTGTACATTCAAATTTCAAAGGCATGAAAGGAGGTTCATTGTACCGCCTTTCATGACCCAACCACTACTCTATACACCACAGAGTACATGTAGGATTTGACAAATCTGAGCTTAGTTATTATCCTTTTATTACCAAATGATCTCTCCTAGTAGTGAAATATTTGACATAACGTCATCCTAATTAGCAAAACTCGTAACTCAGTTTTTACTCAATTTGAGAATATATGCGCCATCTGTTTGTAAATTATTTTATCTGTCTTTTGAGCAAATCCTGTAACTCCATCTAAATGTAGAAATTAAATATAAGCAAAAAAGAAAACTCCGTATCACCTTTTGACTTCAGCCAACCACTTAACTCCAATATAAGCATGGTTAGGTACATCTGACAGTAACACTTGAGATATGTTGTATGTTTGTCTTTTTACGTATAAACGTACAATATAAAATATTATAATTAATTATAATTATAACGTGCATTTTAATCTAAGAACCATTTCTATTCTGCATAGGGTAAGTAGGAACACACTCAACCACTTTATAATTCTCGTGTATTTATTTTTTACTTAGTTAATATTAATTTTTGTAAGAAAACCGCCCTCGAATTTTAAGTGACATTTTGTGTCTTTGTGATGTCCCGAGCAAATGTTAGAATTGGCGTTTTCAAAGCCTCCTATCTTAGTCGATTCGTTTGTACCACATCAAAGCGAAACTGGAGATATTTGTAACACGGATGTTTTAATTATTGAAGATGTGATCGAAAACCCCCATGTAGAAAATATATCTGAGGAAGAACCAAAAACAAATTTTGAAAAGGTGTTAAAATTAACAAAAATGAAGATTCAGAGTGCACCTCGTCTAAAAACCATGAGAACGAAATTTTTGAAAAAGAAGAAACTTCGAGAAAGAGCAGAAAAAGGGAAGATATGTTTAAGTGGAAGATTGCAAAAGAGAGCAAAATAGGAAAAACAGAGAGATAGGTATTGTTTCAAAGGTAAAAAGTGTACTACTGGAAAATGAGAATATAATATTCCAAAAAGACAAAGAATATTAAAACAAAGATGTTCTTGTAAGATATCAGACAGAAATCAAAACACCCTAAAAAAGTCTGGGGTGCAATGCCATTTACTATCGGATGAAGACAGAAAGTTGGCTTTCGCGAATTTTTGGAAAACGAGCTGGGACGAAAAAAATTTTTTTGTAGATTTAAACGTAAAATCTGAAACACCCCAAAGGAAACAAGACTAAAAAGACGAAATCAAATCTAGAACAATTAATAGTTTTATTATTTAAGAAAACAAAACGATCGAATTAAAGTATGCAAGAAAATGTTCCGTAACACAATAAGCATAGGGGAATGAAACAAAAGGAAATGGTTAGATTCGGAAAGAATTAATTGGTTAAAGTTTTTTTTGAAAGTTTGCCAAAACTGGAATCCCATTATTGCCTAATTTTAGCAGTCAATTATTATCAACCGTTAGGCCTGAAAAAAAGGCAAGTGATCCTACTATAATAGATTTGCGTGCACTACAATACAATTCAGATGAAACCATTCAGCTTAAACTCAGGTATTCCGAGCAATGACAGGTTTTCCAGTCAGAGTAAACAAAAAAGTAGTTTTAGGAGTACCACTTGAAGAAATACCACTGCTTTATCTGGAACCGTTGAAAATGAAAAAAAAAAGTTTGAACATTTACAAATTTTAAAAACTACTATGCTGAGTGAATATCACTAATTTTATGATAATCTCAAACACATTTGAAAAATGTTATTATGTACCTACTAATTATATTAGAGTTGTATTAAAAATAAGTAATATTTTTGCAATTTTCAATCAAGCAGTTAACTAAAATGTCATTGTGCAATAAAGTTTTATAATGCTTGTGTGCTTTTAACTTGGTAACTCAAAATTAATATTGGTTTAATTGGGACAAACCTCGTAACTCCACAATCTTTTAGTATAAACTCTAAAATTTTAAAAATGATTCTCTACATCAGGTATATTATTTTATTTTATAATGTTCGATTAATTTTGACAGAATCGCAAAATTTATTCCAAATTCCAATTTTTCCGTCTCCTGAACAATTTGTCGTTTTGGAGTTACAGGTTTTGCTAATTAGGTTGGATCAGTGATCAATGAAGTTAATCAATATAAATTTAAAATTAGTTATTTACATCACAATTTTATTATAGTAGAGCTCTGAAGATGGCTTTGTAAGCCGAAAGTACTCAGCTAGGGATTAAAATTGTTTACTCACTTCAAAAATTCTTTCCTTTTTCCATCTTTTGATTTAAACATATAACAGATCTTTCTTGTTAATAAAAATCTAAAAAAATGAACCTAATGAACCGCGATGGCGCTCATTTGTATAATGAGAATTCAAACCAGCAAAAACTTGACGTGAAATAGATCTTGCTTCTCTCTCTTATACACGCCGCAACCTGACCGCCCGTCATATCATAAGCGCTTCATTAACGATAACGCTTCATAAACAATTTTTAAAATTAAATAAGCCTAAAATACTTGAGAAATAGTAGAACAAGGTTTGAACTTAACGTTAGGTTCTTGATGAATTCAAAAATAATATTTTTTAGTTGTGTTTTTTTTTGCTTTTTTTCTCAGTTTAAAATTGTTTATATTTCGAAAAAGATCAATATTGCAGAAAAATTACAAGAAACCTATGTTGTTCAGAATAGTCAAAAAAAAAAAATTAAAAATATTTGTCCGCATCAAAAAACAATTTAAAATTTGCTTAAAAAAATTTAACAACTTTTTGCCTGGATAACTTCTTGAACCTTATTCTGGGGTATCTCATGAAAGTGATTATGTAAAAAAATCTCTGGGAATATTTTTCCGAACGAACCCGAGCTTTTCGCCTTGTCTAGTTGCCTACTAAATCGTCTAAAGTTAATTGGTATAAAAAATAGAACAGCAGTAGAGACTCAAGGTTTGTCAATCAACACCTGGCTTGAATACGGTTACATGAAATTCAGACTTTGCATGGACTATTTATGTTTTTTTAATTAGTTTAGTTTTTTAGTGAAACAAAAATGAATATTATGTTCCTAAAAAAAATTAGTTTTTTAAATTAATTTTGTAATTCTATATACAAATTTTAAAAATGGATGTATTGTAGGTGAAACATAAATAATATAAATAGAACTCTCTTTGTAAATGCAACTTTATAGCCCAGTCTGGTTTAAAAAAAAGGTCGTAACATGTTTCGCAGATATCTGAAGCTTTTAAGCCATAGGTAAGGGTTACTAAATGAAAAAGTACTCGTGTTTTTACCTTGCTTTTTTTTAAACAATAATTTATGACCACAATTTGATTTTTGTCTACAAGTTTTTTCCCTTATATTTTACATAAACAATATTTATGTTATTTTTTTTTATATCAACAATATCTTTATTTTTCCGTTTTTTAATTAAAATTGACATTTAATTTACGGAGATATTAGTGCAGTAGTTTTTTTACACTAATTTATAAATTTTATTAATTTTTTTATTAACAAAATAAAATGTTATTAATACATTTGAACATTGAGGAATTACCGTCTTTTAAATTTTTGCAAAATTTCCCCCTGATCGGTCAAATAGTTTAAAAGTAATTTAATTAATTTATCGCTGAGGCTAAATATTAAAACTATTGAACTTGCTCTATTAATGATGCTGTAGATATTTAGTAATATAGTAACACTATACTTATATGTAAAAGTAAAACCTAGAAATAACAAACAGGAATGGATCACAGAAGAGATTTTACAATTAATGAACAAACGAAGAGAATCTAAAGGAAAAAATGACAAGGACGGAGAATATAAAAGACTAAATAGAATAATTCGAAAAAAAAATAACCGAAGCAAAAGAGAAATGGCTGGAAACAAAATGCGTTGAAATAGAAGAACTGCAACAAAGGCACGATTTTTTTTAATTTACATAAAAAGGTAAAAGAGTTTACATTAACTACCAGGAGAACGACTTTTCACACCATGCTGAACACGGATTGCAAACTGCTAGAATCAACGGAAGATAAACTGAAAGAATGGGAAAACTATATTAAAATTCTTTTTCACGACATACGAGAAGAACCAAGATTGGAAAATAACAACGAAGGACCAACGATTCTGAAATCTGAAATCATAAATGCAATTACTCACCTCAAAACAAATAAAATCCCAGGTCCAGACGGAATATACCCAGAAACGTTAAAATTAATCAGCGAAGAAAATATCGAAATATTTGTCCTTTTATTCAATCGCATTTATGATACAGGTAAAATACCCCAAGATTGGCTGGAGTCAATATTCATCCCACTACCAAAAAAGCCAAACCCACAACACTGCAATGAGTTCCATCTGATAAGCCTTATGAGTCACGCAGTAAAAGTCCTACTAAAAATCGTACATAATCGTATCTATAGAAAGTGCGAAACAACCATCGGAGACGATCAGTTTGGATTCAGAGCCGGCATGGCAACGAGAGAAGCCTTGTTCAGTTTACTAGTTCTCGCCTAAAAATGCTACGACCAACAGAAAGATATATTTATATGCTTTATAGACTTCAAAAAAACATTTGATAAAGTTAGACACGACCTACTATTAGAACGTTTGCAAGAAGTCGGTTTAGATGGAAAAGACATCAAATTCTTAAAAAACTTGTACTGGAACCAAAACGCCAGAGTTAGGATCGAAGGTTCCACATCCGCAGAAGTAGAAACTAGGAGGGGAGTTAGACAAGGATGTGTTCTGTCGCCTCTGCTGTTTAATCTTTACTCCGAGTTTCTATTTAAAGAAGTATTGGAGGATTCCAAGGATGGAATCAATGTGAATGGCGTAAATTTCAACAGTATCAGATACGCCGATGATACAGTGTTAATTGCGGATTCCGACTTAGGTCTACAACGACTCATCGACAAGACCAACTCGACCTGTGAGCAATTTGGTATGAAAATACACATTAAAAAAACCAAAGTGATGTCAATTCGAAAAAGCCAAAACGTACCTCAACCTTGCACAATAAATGGGCACATTTTAGAACAGGTCAATAGATTTAAGTACCTGGGATGTTGGATCGATAGCAGCCTAAATCCTGATCTAGAAATAAGATCCAGAATAGAACAGGCCAGAAAATCTTTCGAAAAAATAAAAAAACTACTTTGTGTTTCTCGAATAAAACTAGAAATTCGACTACGTTTATCAAAATGCTACGTCTGGTCGACCCTTCTATATACAGTTGAAACGTGGACCCTTACAATATCAACCGTAAATAAATTGGAGGCCTTTGAAATGCGGATTTACTGGAGAATACTCAAAACTTCATGGACATCGCATACCTCAAACAAAGAAGTGCTGCATAGAATAGCCAAGGAAAGAGAACTTTTTATCACAGTAAAAGTTAGAAAAACATCATACCTAGGCCACATCTGAGAAATAATAAGTACCAATATGCCCAACTTATAGTGAAAGGAAAAATCGAGGGAAAGAGAGGCCTAGGAAGGAAAATACTATCGTGGCTCAGAAACATCCGACAATGGACAGGGCTAAATTTTGAACAGCTAAATAAGAACAGCTGAAGATAGAAAAGAGTTTAAAATTGTAGTAGCCAAATTCCATTGAGGAGAGGGCACTTTAAGAAGAAGAAGATATTTTCATTGAAATTATTTAAAAAATAAACGTATGAAAAAGAGGTATGTTTTTTACTTATAAACAATTGTAATAACTTCTATATTTTTCAAGCTACCGACTAAAAAAACTCACATTAAAAAGAACCTTCTATGACCAATAGGAACGAAGTTAGGGACTATTTGGATCGTGACAGCTGCTACTCATCCCATCTTTTTTCGCATACTAAGATATATTACCAGTTTCTGTTATATAGATGGCCTTTCAACTATTCACATGAATACATATAAAATGTAGGGACACGAGGACGGTATACTTTGTGATCTTTGGAGATATTTAGATCTAAAAACATAAATAAATGTGTTTTCCGTTCTCGTACTGTACGTATACCTATACACATATATAAACATATGGATCGTCAAAGTAGTAAATAATTATAAGCAATATAAGGAATATAATAATATAATGTGGTTAAAATTAACTGAAATTTAATTTATAAAATATATAAGTTTTATTATATCATTATTATACAAAAAATATGTTGTTTATATACGTGTTGATTGTCATCATTATCATCATTATTATTACTGCGACAGTCTTTCCAGTTGGTTCCAAAAACACGCAGTCCTTCCATGTTGGTCACATTTATAATTTGGTTTACAACTATGTCAGAAAAGAGTGCGTCAAATGAATTTTTAATATCGAAAATTCGTGCACATTCGTACTTTGTATCCTGGAGCATTATTTAAAACATTGGCCGTGGAAAAAACTACCGCGTTGATAAGGAGGATCGAGAGACCACTGGATATTACCTTCTTTTGAAGAAACTGTTACAGAAGGTTTTACATGATGTTGTACGTAGAATGGAATAGCAGAATCATCACTACTTTCTTCTTCACTCTTACTACTTGTATTGTTTTCTATTTCTGATATGCAGTCATCATTCTCTGACACGTTCG